CTATGTCTGGTAGCTGCAAAATCAAAGAAGTTATTAATTACAATATTACATTTATTTTACAGTAAATACAAATTAACATTTAAAAATTATCAGCTAGTAGGGAAATATTAGACGACAGATTTGTTCAAAGTATAATTCAAATTTTAGTTCATTTTAATTTTATGTTTACAAATTTCAGATATAAATATGTCGTTCAAAATTTATTTGAATTAGTAATTTTTTTAATTATTGATCCCACAAAGAACTAAAATTAAAAATATTTACTGTTCACCGTTGTTTACACAGTACCTAACAGTAGTTAACAATCTAATGATATAAATTAACCGTAATACCTACACAAATGTAGTACATTTTACCATCGATTTGAATCGCTTACAGTATTTACAAAAACACAAAATTATTATACAATTTACATAACATAACATACATAACATCACGCCTTTTTATCCCCGAAGGGGTAGGCAGAGGTGCACATTTCGGCACTCAATGCCACTGTATAATGTAACACCCACTTTTCACTATTTATGTTATAAGTCCCATGTAATAGGGGGTGAGCCTATTGCCATATACCGGGCACATTTCCAGACTACTCTACTACTACTGAGATTTTTTTAAAACCCAGTAATACTTTGCCCGACCCGGGTATCGAACCCGAGACCCCTTGCCCGGCAGTCGCACTTATTATTATAATGTCGAAAAATATAGTGCTTAAAAATAAGTCTCAGTCTGCCTCTCAGTCAGTCTCAGTTTTTTAGTACTTTTTTTGCTAGTTGCTAATAATGCCTGACTTAGTCGTTTCCTATATCTAGTTATATTACAGTCATTTTTACTAAACAACTACAGATTTTTCCTATCCTTAAATATAATATTTTTATAACATTATAATGAAACAAAGTAATATTATTATTATAAATACAAATGAAAATGAAACAGGCAAAATAATGTGGGAAATCCCAATTCAGACAGACTTCACAGTTGCCCACAACAGACCGGACATAATATACACAAACAAAACATCCAACACCACATACCTCTTTGACATAACTGTACCATGTAACTACAACAAAGGAGCAAAAGAAATTCAGTAAATACCACTTTTTAAAGACACAACTCAAGGCTAGACGCCTTGAAATATTGAAACGCATGTTAATTCTATAGTAATTGGAGCCACAGGAGTAGGTACTAGCCAAAAGCTTCAGCAGATACACAGACAAACTAGAAACATAAATAGACATTAGCCACCATTCACACAATAATCATTCTTAGCAAAGTACTAGGAGACACAGTTTTCGTCACATACATTCCAGATTCCGATCAATTACAACCATCTCAAGCGCAAACACCACATACCACTCAGTCAACCATCACATGAAGCTCACAATCCACATCTGGCACACAAACTACACCCAGTTAGTAGTCAAGTAGTCAGCAGAAGAGAAAGAAGGAGATTTATAAGTCAAATTTAGAAGGGGCTATGAGCATCGTTTTACTGCGGGTTGCGGGAAGCGGTGCCCATTTTCACCAGGTCAAGCCCAAGAAGGAGAGACCTCTACATATATGAATACAAATAAGTAAAACCTAGAATAATGCTGCCAGTCTTTTGGGCACCCTACTCCACGATAGCGATGAAAAAGAATTTTTTGATGCCCTAAGGTAACATTTTTTTAAGGTGTGAATACATAACATCACGCCTTTTATCCCCGAAGGGGTAGGCAGAGGTTCACATTATGCCGCTGTACAATGTAAAACCCATTTTTCACTATTTATGTTATAAGTCCCATGTAATAGGGGGTGAGCCTATTGCCATATACCGGGCACAATTCCAGACTCCGTGCACTACTGAGAATTTTTAAAAACCCAGTAATACTTTGCCCGACCCGGGAATCGAACCCGAGACCTCTTGCCCGGCAGTCGCACTTGCGACCACTCGGCCAACGAGGCAGTCCTTCCACTTCCAGGTGTGAATATGTACCTATTTTAGTTTATTTATAATTTAATATTACTTTGTTGTGCGTAGGTACTTAAAATGTTGTTCTAATTATGATATATACATTAATACAAAGATAAAAATAGTTTTACAAAAATAATACGGCTTTAATATTTGCAGCGATCTATGGGTTTCTTGTTTCTTGAGACAACAATATACGTCTGAATGTTAGAATAATTCCCAATAGTACCTGAAAAAAAAACAAAGATTATTTTTACATGCAGAAATATGTATTTTATTTATTTGTTTTCTTTTATTTATCTAAGGTAGGTGTACCTTACGTCATATTACTGATGTTACAAAAATAATATAGTATTTACCATCTCTAAAATAGGTTTCAAGCACTGCTGGTATAGATCGGCACTTTATCCGGACATCGTAAGACTCGTAACTGCCGATAAAAAATTGCACTATTGATATTCTGCAATGATGATGCTGAAGTAATATCGATGCAATAGCAATTCCAAATATCACTGTAACAAATATACAAAAAAAAAGTAGAAATTTATAAAAACTACATAGTTTGGTAACTCAATGAATCAAATAAAATGTATAAATAGATTCAATAGCAAAAATCATAAACTTGTTGTAGGTTTTACCTTCAGCAACATGATTGTATTCTTCGTATTGATGTTCTTTATTATAAATAAGATATATACGCAAATTAAAGCGTTCCTTTGTAAAATCAAGTCCAATGAATAGACAAACAAACACAATGTACTTTTGTGATTTGTGATACATATGTATACAATAAGGTCCTTTATAGAAAACACAACACGCAACGCAGAACTTCCTTTTTTAGAAAAACAATCACAAAATCCCATCACAAATTATTAAATAATTTAAAATATTTTTGGCAAAAATTTTTACAATTTTGACGTTTAAAATTTTTGTTTTTGTTTCTTTTCTTTATCAAGCAAAAAGTATACATATTATATGCCAGTATTAAAATAGTACAAACTACATGCATACTATTTTATAGAAATAAGGAGATAATATAAAAAAGTATTTAATATCAATATCTAATTATTAACAATATTATTTTAATAGTTATTTATTATCTAAATAATTTGGAAAATTATTATTGTAATGTTTTAATAATTTTTTAGCCCCAGCGGTGCCGTAAAAAATAATCATTTGACAATCCATATAGTACAAGAGCCTATGAACCCCAGACCTATGTTATTTATAACGGACTTAAAAAAAGGAAAAGTTATATACCTATAAGGTTTTTTTATGTTTCTTCAGGGATGACTTCGTCGTTTTTTAACGTATTTTGATGATTCTTTTTTAACCGACTTTAAAAAAGGAGTATCAGTTTGACCTAAATGTATATACATAATTATGTTACAGTCAATGTGATTAATTTGATATTATTCGTAATGACTAGTATTAATTAATCAATTAATGACTAGCTATTATGAATAATATCTTCGAAAACTTGGATAAAGTAAATCAGCAAATGGAAATGAACAGGGCTGACGTCTGCACAAAATTTTGAATTTATCGTCATGGGTGTCGTTTTCATGGTTTTCGAGGGTGATAAAGCCGATGGTCCTGTCAAATTGTAAATCCAAGATGGCGTGCGCACAAAATTTTTCAATTTATCGTCATGGGTGTCGTTTTCATGGTTTTCGAGGGTGATAAAACCGATGGTGTTGTCAAAATGTAAATCCAAGATGGCGTCTGCACAAAATTTTGAATATATCGTCATGGGTGTCGTTCTCATGGTTTTCGAGGGTGATAAAACCGATGGTGTTGTCAAAATGTAAATCCAAGATGGCGTCTGCACAAAATTTTCAATTTATCGTCATGGGTGTCGTTCTCATGGTTTTCGAGGGTGATAAAGCCGATGGTGCTGTCAAAATGCAAATCCAAGATGGCGTCTGCACAAAATTTTGAATGTATCGTCATGGGTGTCGTTCTCATGGTTTTCGAAGGTGATAAAGCCGATGGTGCTGTCAACATGCAAATCCAAGATGGCGGCTGTACGAAATTTTCAATTTATCGTCATGGGTGTCGTTTTCATGGTTTTCGAGGGTGATAAAGCCGATGGTGTTGTTGAAATGTAAATCCAAGATGGCGTCTGCACAAAATTTTGAATTTATTGTCATGAGTATCGTCTTCATGGTTTTCGAAGGTGGTAACAAAGATGGTGCTGTCAAAATGCAAATCCAAGATGGCGGCTGCACGATATTTTCAATTTATCGTTATAGGTGTCGTTTTCATGGTTCTCGAGGGTGGTGAAAATGATGGTGCTGTCAAATTGTAAATCAGAGATGATGACTGAACGAAATAGAGTTAGTGCATTTATCCAGAAAGATTGAATATGTGTGTGAATGTGTGTGTGTGTGTGTGTGTGATAGAGAGACAGAAAGAATGCGTGCAACCTATTTTATAGATTTTCTATGAAAATTGAGTATTTTCATATAATATTAGTTTTTATATAATAAAAACGGTGGCCTAGACCTGAGGTTCACAGGCTCTTAGGTTAATGCTTTTGGATGCAGAAACCTGACGCAGTCACTTCATAGAGTTTAGTTTGTCATCCATCACTTAAAATCTTTTTAATCTCTATTATGAGTAAAGAGGCTGTCATCTTTGATCGATTATGCCAGCATAACTGTCATTTGATCTAAGTTTAAGGAATTATTTTGTAAAAATTGCAATATAGTATTAAATAAATGTGTATAATGTTATTTTACTATTTCCAAAAAATATTATTTTAAGCCTAAATTTTAAAATAATGTTGCAACCTTGCTTGGAACTGTGTGGCCACTGAAAATATTAGTTTTGACAACATTTAATTTCAGGTTCGAAAACTAGATGTAGTTGACGGTCCGATTTTTTAAGCTGTCAATGGCTCTAAGTGTGACGGCCCTGCTGGTGACTGGTGTGAAGTTCGTGCAAGTGGTAATGTGAGCGAATCGCGACGGCTAGATAAAGTTGGTGTATTGTATTTTAATATCAATACGTTTTCCTTTTTTCTGTTCAATAAAATCAAGCAAATACAATGATTCATTTCAAAGATAATAAAAACAAATCAGCTCTTAGCACAAGATGGGCTCAAATGTCGAAACAGGAGCAGATTATAGAGAGGAAGAAAATGGAGATACAGGCTAAATTGGAGGCTCAAAAGCAAGCTGCGGCGCTTGCCGCTCAAGCAAAACTATCAAAGTAAGTATTATTTAGTCAATCCAATTAAATGTTCGCACTTCGTAACATTTTCATGAAGTTGTTTTCATTTGCGTTGGTGTAATGAATAGTAGTTCCAATCAATAAGACGACGGTAATTACCATACTTCATCAATCACAATACACCTAAGGGTATTAGAATTACATTGCTTTAATTATATTTTTCGTTTTTTCAACATATTAATGTATATAACTCGGTTATGGGTGTAGGATGGCTTATAGTAGGTACTTACCCACCCAACCTTGTAAAATTCTTACAAATTATTCTTTTCAATAAAATGCCATGCCCTTAAACCACGAAGTCATCAAACCATTATTTAATTGTATGTTCTATAAGTGGAATGCAGTTAAAACTTAAATTTTAGTAACATTTTGACCAATGTATGCGGGTACACATAACAAAATAACATTTTATAAATTTTTTGTCTGTCTCTGTATTGGGTAATCTCTGGAATAGCTGGACCCATTTTGCAAGACTTTTATTGGCTGATGTACTAAGAAGTAACATAGACTATTTTTATTTTGGAAAATTGTAACAAAAGTTATGTTCTAAAATTATATTCTATGTGGAAAAAGACGTAGCAACAGCTAGTAATATATTATTATCAGTGTGAAATATGCAATTGCACAGGTACTTGAAACTAATCAGTGTACTGTTATGCATATTGATTATAGCTAAATACAAATACTTGTATTCATAATACCTAGCTATCCATCTATTGTGTTGCTAACAATTCACTCCACCGAGTCAGCCAACAATGCAATGTTGCTTATTCAATGTATGTATGAGGTCTTTGATGCAGAACCAACAAGCTAAAAAACAGCTATTCAACTATTGAAAGTAAAACATTCTCTCGGTCTACTTGCTGGAACAGGCATGTGATTTTATTAGAACAGGTTTCTGTTTTCTACATGATATAAAAGCATATAGACTACTTTTGTCCAATATTTTATTAGGATTTTCCGATAACAATTAGCTAAAAGTCAACTTTGCTTTATTTCCAGTCCTACCCAAAAAGATGATAAGGGCTCGGTCAACATTTTCTCCAATGATGGCAGTTTCATGAACCAATTCAAGGCCTTGCTTGAAAAACAGAAGCAAGACAAGCAGGAGAAAGAAGAACAGGATAAGAATCATAGTGATGATGAATCAAAACCGTCAGTTAAGCATGAGAGTAAAGATCAATCCTCTACTGACGATCCATATGAAAGAGAACATTATGGGCAAGGCATTGATGAACGACGCAAGTCTGGGGATAGAGGACAAAGGTAAAATTGGATAAATTATAGTGTTGTTAGCTGGCATGTTAACAAAGATAAAGTTTATAATTTCTCATTTTAATTTTCCAGGCCAAAACATCATAGATGGAACGATAGAGGTCGTCCTCGTCCCCACAGTCCTATAACACCAGTTGTGGAAGACAGAAAGAAGCTTGTGGACAACAAAAATCCTCATAACATCCCTCCCCTTATGCAAATCCCTGTTATGCCACCAAATAGTCAATCTTTAGATTCTGACCGTAACCAATGGCTAGGCTCTAAGTCTGATGAAGATCCTGATTCCAGTAATGAAATGGGTCCTAATATGGGACCTGGGCCAATGGGACCAGGGCCAATGCCTCCGGGTATTATGGGTCCCAGTCTAATGGGACCTGGTCCTGGACCTGGTATGGGGCCAGGTCCAAATATGGGCCCTGGTCCTAATATGGGACCTGGTCCTAATATGGGCCCAGGGCCTGGCATGGGACCTGGCCCCAATATGGGCCCTGGAGGTAATGGGCCCGGACCTAATATGGGCCATGGTCCAAATATGGGTCCAGGGCCTAATATGGGTCCCCGACCAGGAATGGGGCCAGGACCGATGATGGGGCCTAGGGGCCCTATGCCTCCAATGCCACCTGGTGGTCCTATGCCTCCATTCATGGGTGGACCTCCTAATTTTCCTATGCCGCCTAATTTCATGGGTCCAAATGGCCCAGGGCCTTGTGGTCCAATGCCGCCTAACATGTGTGGTCCCAATATGGGTCCTGGTGGCCCAGGTCCAAATGGTCCGATGCCTCCATTCTTTGGTCCGCCTTTCCCAAATATGATGGGTCCAAATGGGCCGCCTAATTCCATGATGCCTCCTAATTCTATGAATAACAATATGCCTTTCATGGGTGGCCGTCCACCTTTCGGGCCGAATGGTCCTCCAAACTTTGGTAATGGTAATGGTCCTCCAATGCCACCATTTATGCCTCCTAATATGCCTCCAAACATGCACCACCCTGATTCCAAATCTATGGATGGTCCACCGATGAAACCAGATGGAATGCCATTGCCTCCACCTATGCCACTTGGACTTTTGGGCAACCCTAAAGATATGGACAACTCTGGACCTCCATTTAAACCATCGCAAGGTAAAAACCTATCATATTTCTCTGTATGAAATGCCTTTGTAGTATAAACTTATTGTACAACATGTGTTGGAAAAAGTGGCCTAATAACTGGTATTATAAAGAACATGAAATATCAACAATTAGCTTCGAAAGCTTTAACAGAGCAGCTTTTATTTTATTGAATTATTCCAATAAATTGAGTAACCTTAAAAATACGACCATTTTTCTGTAATATGTTGTACAAATGCAAAGGCCAAGCAATAAATATTTAACTTCAATTGTTTTCTGATATTTAGTATTCTATGTTGATCCGTAAAGTATCATAGTTTTGCATGTTTCCTTTTCGAGAAGACAAAAATCGACGAAGTTAACAGTATTTTTTCAATTTTATTTCGCTGTTATAGTGAACAAAGCCTGATTAGTTCTAAATTTTATGGATAATCATATTTTAAGCGATTTAATGTACATATTTCAATCTAAATATCAGAGAATTTGCATGCACTGTTGCTATTTGGCAACCTTTGCAAACAGTAAGCGACAATTTATTTAATGATAGGAATAGCGGTAAATATTGGGTGAACGTTCACAATGCCTTATTGATTTATTGTATAGGAAGTAAATAATAATATTTTCTTTCTATTTGCTTAGATTACTAGCAATTAAGTCTTCTTTTACATAAGTTGCTCCCTAAAATGCGTATAGAAAGATTTAACGTATGCGTAAGGGTGCGTCCGGATCTGACGAAGGCACCGATCACGAGTTAGCAGCGGAATTCATCAGATCTGGACGCACTTTAAGCCTAGTAATTGGTTGATTACTTGTTTATGAGACATAATTATTGATACTACAATTTAAGTTGCAATTATAAAACGATTTATTTTCTAAGATGTAATCAGTAGAGTCTAATCTATAATAACAACCTGTTAATACCTTCAACGATAATGACGTGAGTTCACTTAGGTATCGTGACGTCACCCAACCTTTACCTAAAGCCGCGGTAGTAAGATAAATAGTCGCCCCGGTTCCTCGTCGTCGTGATCTCCAGACAATATGTTGACTCGTGGTGTGCAGTTCTCTCTGCAGATTCGTTGCCGCCGTCAGTCCTGCGAGCCGCCAGCGAAGTCGCCTGCAACGGCGACCACTGGGAAAATGTCCTGAAAGCAATTCACTCACAAGACCAAAATTTGTGGTAATGCCACTGTAGCCACTTTGATCCCCAGCAGGAGGATACGTGCTGTATTCTTTTTTTATTTACATACATTATTGTCGCAATGACTGTGATGGAACACCAGCTTTTATTGATCAAAACACGATAAAACACTTTTATTGAGCAAGTTGTTCCATAACAGTATTTTCAGGTTGAATAAAACCTAACACAAACGCATCCTTTGTTGTTCTTTACCCTCTACATTAGATGATTGTACTAAGCGAATCATTCCAGGTTCCTTCACAACACTAATTCGAACGAGTATAAGGCGTTTAGAGATCTAGTTGCTAAGATCAGGGGTGAAAGAGGTGACAAGAAACCTGAAGTGAAACCTGAAGACAAATATGAACCGGAGTTCAGTTTGGAAGATGATGACAGTAATGATGATTACAGATTTAATAATAAAGATGATAGCCGGGATAGGTAAGTAACAAATATTCTAATTCTTTTTATTGCAATCTGTAATAAATAGTTTTAAACTGTGTGTAAAGCTAAAACTAGTTCATGTAGTAAGTGACCTTCGAGTTTAATAGGTCAACCTCTAGCCAAACAGATTGGGATATTTTTATATTATGCATCACATAAAGACATAGTCCTTGATTTTTTATATTCTTGTTAATAGTTAATAGCATGTTACCTTGCTTTGCATTACTTTGCGTATTGCCATAATGGGGGCTAACGTTTTTGAGCTTACCTATGGCGATATAGATGGCGTCAATGTAGCGTAATGTCATTGTCCCATAAAGATTTACCTAGTATATAAATCAATCCATTGAACAGTGATGGGACAAATAGAATCAGTTGTTACATCCACACTATCTAATCGTCAAAATTGTTAGTTCTCATTAGGATTATGTTAAACACAATTTAATGATTAAAAGTAACTGTTACAGTACTAAAGAGGGATTTGGCTTCGGTCAGTCCTACAAACGGGAACAACCGAGCTCGCAGAGTGATGAGGAATCTGACAGTAAAAGGGAAAGGAGGAAGAAGAAGAAATCCAGGTGGAGTGATGATCCTCCTGCAGCTGATATTAAACCACCAGGGGTCGTGGCTCCACTACCACCTATGGCGCCAGGTAAATTAAGATTGTTATGTTATGAGGGGAGAGTTCACTTTTGGATGATGTGTCCCAAAGTTTTATAATCATCGCTTGCCACTAGGCAAGATGGAGGCCAAACGTAGACCAAAAAAAAATTTTATCATTAATTGTCTGACATATTTCATCAATCTTATGTTTCATACCATATTTTTTTACAATGTGCTTTTTTTCATAGTTTTCTTATAATAACTAATTTTATTTATAGGAGCAAAATTGGCTAAAATAGATGAGGAGGGCATAAAACTGAGTACAGTGAACCGCAACAATCAGGCGCTGATGCAGTATGCCTTGACAAACTATGGTACTACCAATCTCAGTGCTGAGGACTGGAAGAAGTGCGAGGATAATTTTAAACTTAATCTTTTATATCAGGTAATATTTATTTAATTAGCCTTTTTCCTGGGAAGATTAAAAAAAAATCCGCTAGGGGCAGCACCGGTGGGGGGTACATATGTTTTGAATTCTCTATTGACAACAACGTCAAACGTGTAGAATTAAAATGGAATTAACTGAAGATGATGTACCTTTTTTTATTTTATCAATTGTTAAATCTGTCCTTCGTGATAAGTGTATCCACTCCAAACACTTTTTTTTGTTAACTTGTGGTTTTATAAATGGCACAAATTTTCCACCATCTTGCTTGTACCGACTATCAGACGTACAATTTGCGAATGCGCAATGTTTTGTAGGCATGACTATTTTTTTAAAAAAAAATTTTATCACAATATTTATTTATTCTGATAATAATAAGACGTACGTTTGACGTTGTTGTCAATAGAGAATTCAAAACATATGTTGAAACCAAACCCCCCCACCGGTGCTGCCCCTAGCGGATTTTTTTTTAATCTTCCCAGGAAAAAGGCTAATTATTATTATGTTCCAAATGTTTCCACAAAAGGAAATAAAGAATTTGAAAATGTCATTATCTCGTAAATAACTGGAATGAGCCGGCTCGACCGAAATGATAAAACGGCCTCACAGAAAACTGACTTGAAATAACACTTGCGTTGTGTTTTGTTTTGTCGTATGTGTGAGGTTATCGGAGGCCCAATTACCCACTTCCCAATATCCCCAATTCCCGATTCTGTCCTTTAAAATCACTTGTAAACAGCAAATATTGTAGTTTGTATTTATTTATGCTCTGTCAACTTTCTGATTGTGATGCTCAGGTGTTACCTAAATATAATCAATCTTGTAAATGGTCATAAGTTTTAGTGCATTGTGGCATACAGCCACGTCTTCTATCCTCTAGTACTTCAAATCAGTAGATACAGTACAGTTTGTGGCTCTTTGATAAAACACAAATCGATTTTATTTTAAAGTCATTTTAAAAGTTCACCCCAACCCCTATTTCGTAAAGAGTGCAAACAGTTTTTGATCTCTGGTCAATGTGTTTTAATAAATTATATTCCAACAGGACATGTTAAAGAAAAGGCAAGAGGTGGAACGCCTGGCGGCTGCTGGCAAGTATAAGTACGAATATGACAGCGACGAGGACACGGCTGAAGGTACCTGGGAACATAAGTAAGTGATATACAATTAAATAAATAAACATAACATCATCACGTCTTTTATCCCCGAAGGGGTAGGCGGAGGTGCACATTATGCCACTATATAATGTAACGCCAACTTTTTACTATTTAAGTTATGAGTCCCATGTAATAGGGGATGAGCCTATTGTCATATACCGGGCACAATTCCAGACTCCGTGCTACTACTGAGAATTTTTTTTAAACCCAGTAGTACTTTGCCCGACCCGGGAATCGAACCCGAGAACCCTTGCCCGGCAGTCGCACTTGCAACCACTCGGCCAACGAGGCAGATAAATAAATAAATTATTGCATTTCTTGCAAAAACTTCTATTGCTTATGAAGAAGAATGGGATTATTAACATAATTTATGTGGTAAATGAATTAGTAATTACATACTATAACTTGTCCAAATACTCTATACCACTCAATTTGAAGTCGCGCTTAAGTATAGTTCTGTCTCTACAAATTCTTTGTAAAATGACAGAGATAGCACGACATTTAAGTACTACTTTAAAATGAGTAGCCTTTCAGTATTCGGGCATTCAGGGACTTATGTAACCACAACAAGTGCTGCCGATATTTTTGAACCCCGTAGTGGCTTGAAACTAGACTAGCAACCTTTTCAAACCACAGCTGAATAGGCTAGTTTCCTAAATTTTATTTTGATGTCCATCTGGTAGATTATTTTAAAACATTAGACACGTATTTATTCTTTTTTTCAGAAAATTTAATGCTTTCGACGATATATTGATTTGAAATGTCGTGTGTGTTGTGTCGTTACAGCGTGCAACAAAATGTAGCACGTTGTGACGTAACTACCTCCCACTACTAAACCTAACTCCATTTTATTTAAGTATTGTAACTTTATACGACAAAATAAAAAAAAATACGTGTCTAATACTTTTTCATTATCTAACTGACGGACTAATTTGATTTTTAATTTTCTTACCCTGGAAACTACCCTATCCTATTGAATTCAGTTGTGGTCTGAAGCTCATGAGTAGTTAAATAAAAATAGTTTCTTAAACCCTTCATATTATAATAGGGTTGATATGTTTATTTGGGTTAAGTGTGATTTATTTAAGAATATAATTTATTGGAATGCCTGACCAATTAATTTTTGTCCGCGTAAACATATCAATTGTTCAAACAAATAACTACATTAAAGTGCATTTTTGGCACGGTAAACAGCGTCTCAGTTATACAGAAATGCAACAGGTGGCGCCACGTGTATTATGTTCTGAACATACCTTTTTAATACCTACATATCGAAAGGAATGCAGTCACAATGATGTTAATGTTTTAAACCCATCATTAAAATAAATATTTAATTTATTACTATAAAAACGAATATTTTTTTGTTATTGTGTAAAACTAGTGTTTTACACAATAACAATGGTTGATAGTTCAACGGGACATTTAGAATGGCATGGTGTAAGGTTTATTTCATTGAAATAATTAAAATCATTTGCTTTAGATATTTATGTATGGCTACACAATATTTTTGTAGTCGTAAATGATAAGATACGTGTGGAGGAACAAAGAGATGCAGTCACAGTTCTTTTCAATGTGGGGCATCTGGTTCAAAAAGAAAAATAAATATATAACGTCAAAAAAGCTCGTAAAACACCCCTTTTTGTTCTCATATTTGTTTTAATCCCGATTCGGCTTGAGTTCGCATATCGTATAAATAAATTAATAATTTATTTCTTATTCTACATATACCTCATACAATACATTAGTTTAAATCTGTGCGTAATATATTGTTAATATTTTTCTCTCACTTTATCTACTATGGAATTTATAACGTAACGGAAAAAAATTGGGTGTTATATGACAATTACCAATGATATACTTGTTAGTAGTAATACGTATATCATTATCATTAGAACAGTGGTATTAGAAATAAAGACGTTAGAGTTGTAATAATACTGACTTTTTTATATAATACTGCATAAAAGTGAATGTGATAAATTATCACATTCACTTTTATCACGGATAATACATTTAAGCATAAATAAGTTTATTGCTGCCGTTATGTTAGTAACAAATATAAAACGCGATCCTCCTCTTCTTTGAGGGCCTCAGGGCGGGAGGATTGCGAAATACCGACTCTCACGAGTCGAGATGTAGGGTATAAAACAAAGTCGCTATTCGGCATCTGTCTGTCCAAAGTTAAATTGCTGCTCCCTAACAGCAATGTAATGTAATCGTTGTATGTAATACTTCCTAAATGTACATTGTGCAATATGATTCAATAAATAAATATCTAGAAAGAAAAGTATGAAATCATTCTATCGATTCTTACATCGTAAACAATAATGAAACTAGTAAAATACATTCTCAATGAATAACCTTGTTCTAAATTTTTTATTCCTGTTTAATAGGTTAAGAGCAAAAGAAATGAATGCAACAGAGAAGTGGGCGGATGAGCTAACAAAGCAGGCGGCTGGAAAACATCACATTGGCGATTTCTTACCGCCAGAGGAACTAAGAAAGTAAGTTATTGTTTATAAACACAATTTACGCGTTTCTTGTTCAATGTTAAAATGTATTTTGGTGTTTAATTCTGTTTTTATGTTTAGTCTGCTTTTGTTTATGACTTAAAGTATTTTTTTATTCGAATGTTCTAGAAATCTAGATGTTTTTGATGGTTTATTCGTATTTTCAAGGTTTCGTGCACTCTCTTGTTTGTTACTTGTGTGAATAACTCGTGGTGTAATGTTTTCGGTGGTATTAATGTGTAAATATTGCATGAGATACAATAATTCATTATATTGGCTATTGAATTACTTCGTGATTATCATTATGTCAATTTGTTCTAAGATCCCACTTGGATGCCAAAGCCTAAGATCGATGTTAAATATTAGTAAACAAACAACAGACGCAAAATTACATATGGCCGCTCCAAATAGCAATTTTATAATTTAGGTATTAAATAAATAAATAATAAACAAATCTTTATTATTACCAAAAAGATCAAAATTTTTACATTTTTAGGACCATGGCTATGTGGGCCAGATCTTAAAGAAAAAACCTGTATCTTAGAAGTCAGTGCACCTTCGAAATTATACTATACGAATAAGCTAATATTGTACCATCCATTGTTATTAATAAATGCTACATTGCAGGTTCATGGAGAAATATTCAGCATTCAAAAGTGGCAAGGAGCCAGATTTGAGTGACTACAAAGAATTCAAGTTGAAGGAAGACAATGTCGGTGAGTGCGCCTAAATATTACAGTACGTTTTCCTCGACAGAAATAGCTGCAGAAGGCTAAAGCGTATTATAAAATTAATGTGTTTGAATCAATCAAGTGATTTTATGCGAATGATTTGACAGCAATGTTATTTTTAGGAAAGTCGTTGACCTCTTTGGTCTCGAATGAATAGAAATTCTTCAAAATGATAATTGAGATTGAGAGGTGAACTTTGTAATAACGTCACTTGTAATTGGGCCTCCGGTAACCTCACTCACACGACGAAACACAACGCAAGCGTTGCTTCACGTCGGTTTTCTGTGAGGCCGTGGTATCACTCCGGTCGAGCCGGCCCATTCGTGCCGAAGTATGGCTCTCCCACACTTAAACTCTTACTGCTGAGTGACTGACTTACTAGTCAGCTTAACTAGATTGACCTTTTGCATTTTCTCTTATCATCACTTGTACTAAGTTCATATTTTCACTATGTATAAGATGTCGAATATTTTGGCATCTTCTATTGTCTGTACTATTTATAGACATTGCAAAGTCAAGTTATGTCGCAGTAACAATGTTTCATGAATTTTGGCCCTCATTCCTCAGGTTGTTGTATTGCCAATGAATTCACTTTCACATGTTATCACTTGTAATAAATATAACGTAGATTCTTTTAACGTAATATTGGCTAATAATTTTGTAATTGATTGAGTAAGTGATGAAAATGTACCACGACTTAGAAGTACAGTTTTATTCAGAGCTTTATGTGTGAAAAACTTTTCAGTAGTAGCACGGAGTCTGTAATTGTGCCCGATATATGGCAATAGAATCACCCCCTATTACATGGAACTCATGACATGAATAGTGAAAAGTAGGTGTTACATTGTACAGTAGCATTAATCGCCGTAATGTGCACCTCTGCCTACCCCATCGGGGATAAAAGGCGTGATTATGTATGTTATGCGTTGTGTATTTATTGGATTAACAAAACCGGTGTTGTAACACTTTTAAGAGTTTACTTTATAATTTTATATATCGACCACAGGCGGTATTAAATTAAGACTAAGGAGTTTTCTTACTAAGACTGATGAATGTAAATGAGACGAAAGAGATCGGAATTGACATTTTGTTGTTTTTGCCAAACCTAGTGAACTCAAGCGTCACATTGTTTATATTTGATTTTAGTTTGTACACGATTAACTCTTTGAGTACCGTCATTATAGACACAATTATAGAACAATAGGTTGCGGTCACCGGTGTCCTCGCGGTGTTTGACAGTTTAATAAATTCATTTATTTAAACCACAAGTGACATGTGCAAGAATTTTAATACTTTTCCCTATATTTTGCGGTCATTTCCTCTTCCGAATTTAAAATCAAAATAATCGGTCAAGTATGCAGCAAGCATCATCGTTCTACGAATTCATTTCATTGCCTGTATGTTGGATGTCGTCCAGTAATTGAATGAGGTTTACATACTGATGACACACACAGATAGTATCCTAAATATGTAACAATTTGTAGGAAAATGTTCAATATTGTCGTTTATATCTTGAAATGATTAGATGAGCAATGATATAATATAATATGGGATGAAACCATCTGATAGAGATATCCTATCTTTTGTTTTGTTCAGATATTTTCTACCGAAATAGTTTTCTTGTGAATATTTTATGACGCATTTGTTTACATTTTAACTGCGTAAAATATTTGGATTTTGTTGATATAACGCTTTTTTGTAGACTATTCCCAATTAGTTTTGGGTTCCCAATTATTTTTGGGGTCGCCACCGACCGCCACTGATTTACTAATAATTCGGATTTACTTATTATTCTTCATATACTGATTTTAAAAATACCAAAAATAGCATCGATAATATTAATTAAATTAAATTCTTATTACTTTGTCCATAGGTTTCAAAATGCTACAAAAACTGGGTTGGACTGAAGGGCAGGGCTTGGGCGCTGAGGGATCGGGCATCGTTGAACCTATTAACAAGTGAGTATTATTTTCAACCTTATATTGAGTGACCTAAATCTGATTCTCGTAACTTTGTTCCTAACTACAATATAAATTAGAGTATCTACGTGCTAATCCAAGCTGCGTAGTAGTATTCGAAGGCGAATAGACTTTTAGAAGATATGGCATGACGTGTATTGAAATCGAAAACATGACAATTATTTTACTCATATTAAACCAATGCGTATGTATTTCTATAAAATAAACCTGTTGATCCAGTTAATTAGATCTTGCCTTCACATTTTTTGTATGGAATTCCAAGTATGTGTATTCTAAATTGTATTATGATTGACGTCACGTATCATGTTATAAAACTTGAAATGTACCTCTTTTTATCGGCGCCTTAGTATAAATTCAGAATACATTAATATTAAGTACCGATAACAAGTAAGATACTCATTAAATTGTTCTGAGAATGAAATCTCTCTTAGCCATTAACAGAATCATAATCATTTAGCTCTAAATTGTGTTTAGGCCCTTTTGTTTTTAGTCTTCATTGCACATAGATAAGTTGAAGTGTAGTGTAGTTCACTTGGAGGTCATAAGATCAAATAAAATTGAAAAAATTGAATTGCTTTATTATTATTTTCTCTTATCTCACTGAATGGAAATACTAAATAGTTTATCACTAGATATTCTCTATTATATTTTATTCATTGTCATCCAGAGCAAATCAGCCCGTAGCCAACCTCGGTTTGGGAGCTTCGACATCAGACGTAGTATCAGCGGAGGACGATGAATTTGACGCTTATCGGAAACGAATGATGCTCGCCTATAGGTTTAGACCTAATCCTTTGGTAAGTCCTCATTCTTCCTCACGTAACATCAAACCTTTTAATCCCCGCGGAAAGCAGAGGTGCTTATATCACCAAAAAATAACAAGATCCATAAGTTTTCCTCTTCTAGGAATTTCCTAGGAAAATTATAATCTTTCATAGGATTCTAGAAGATTTTTTTGTCCCGCTTACGCTTCTTGTTGTCAGAAACACTGACTCTTACTCTTACTCTTATAATATTATGATTCCCATGTAATTCGGAGTGACGAATTGACGATACGCTAAATATAGCGCCATGTTTGAAATTATTCAAGTTATGTAAGTATATTTAACTTGTGAGCAGAAAACTCTAGAAAATGTCTGTAATTTATTACCATTGAGAATTTATGTAAAGATTCTGAATGGTATTTGAATAATATGTTAGTTCTTTAGTTTTTGTGAATTTTCTTGTATTTTGTTTTTATCAAAGCAGATTATTGACTGCGCAGTTCTGTTATTCATTAGTGTTTGGTGTTTACATTAGTAACTTGCTTTATTTTTGACACAATTAAAGAATTATTACAGAAAAAACCCCAAAGGCAAGCAAAGGTTTCACACATTAAATGTAACATACCCTCTTCACCTATACACCGCCTACAAATTGAAATTCTTTACTTTTACTAGTGCCTTGCCGATCCGAACATCAAACTAGACTCAGCTGTCGACCGAATTGCGACCAATCAACCTTAACCTTACAAAAGGACGTGAAGGAAAAGCCTAAAAGTAATATTATATAAAACAAATCAATATACGACAATAACCCTTCAAACAATCGTGTATAAATAGCCTTTAAACAAGTACCTATGTTGTTATGGACATTCACGTGCTTTGATCCCGATTTGTTTCCTTCCTCCTACGCAAAAACGTGAGTTCACAGTGCAAAACAAACTGTCAGTAAATCAAGGATGTTTGCCAAAATGTCTGCTACGGGTGGTATTTGCCCTTATTATAGATATGCGGTGTCTATTTCACCTGCCTGCAAAGCTTAAGATTTTAAGCAAACCCTCATATGTAGAGAATCGTCCAAGCTGTATTGATGTTGTGTTGTTAATCAGTCTTAATTCTTCCTTTTAAATTCTTTTCTTTTATCACTTATTGCGAATTTCAATAATACATCTGAATCCAATATTTTTAAATGGAAAACGATTATTTACAATTAAAATAGTCATAGATTTTTGTCTCTACTAGTCGAGTTCCTCGTCAAATAATTACGTAGGTAAGCCGAAAAACTAAATAATCTACAGAGTGTTCAAAAAAGTTTATTTTTGTTTCAGAATAACCCGAGAAGACCGTACTATTAAGAAGAATGTATATTAATACAATAATGAAAGAAGATATTCCCGTAGTTAGTCAACAAGTTATTTTCTAAAAAGTGTCAAATATGTTTTTGTGGAGTTTATTGACGTTATTATTATAATTCCTTTACAAACGGTTGCTAATATTAATTGTGCTGCCAAAGTACTTTTTGTACATGAAAATGTTCCATTATGATGATGTGGGTAGCGAAAACTAAGAAAACAGAGGGTGTAAGTCAGCAAGGCATTTGTTTATGCCTCTGGTATCGCGAATGTCGCGATGTACTAAATATACGAAACCTATATTCACCAGATGATGCAAATGTAGAAAGCGGTTTTTGTCCAATCACTGCAGCTGTCAAATATTGAACGCCCAATGATGTGAGGCTTGCTAATATCCTATTGGACGAAAAGTGGAAGGTTCACACTAGCCCCATCTATTTACCGCATTCGTAACATAAGAGTATCGATACAATTACGGTACAAATGCGAATGATAGTTATTCGTGCTTGGCACTCGGGTGAGCAAAAATACGATAGGTCCCATTATTTTTGGTATTTTTCGCTACTCAAATCACTAGAACTTATACATTTTACAAGCTCTAAGTTAGTACTTAAGTTTCTCTTAAACAAAATCCATTACAAATGTGGTTTTTACATAGTAAATATTTATTTATGTAATGTAAAGTAAAACCTTGTTTATTTATTTTATAGTATTTCTCTTGTTATCGTTTTCTATGATAAATTACAGGGCGGGAATTAAAACATATAACGTGAATTTTACATTTGCTAAATTAATAATATACATAATAACGTGAATTATTTGAGAGAAGCTCTACTAGTTTTCAAGTCATTCCGGGGCTCTTTTTCATAAGCAGAACGATTTGCATTTAGGGCTTATATATATATGTCACCATGACACCGTGGCCTGGCGACCAGACCAGACTGGCAGCTGAGTGAATAACACTCCATACAGCGCTTTAGTAATTAATGGTGGCGGGACCAGGATAGATGAGGGACCAATAACGTTTTGCGCTGGCGTCCGAACTGGTCGCGCCACCAGATTGGTTGCGTAACCAAGCCAACACCAGTTGAGTAACTCTATAGAGCTGCATACATTTTATTGGTGGCAGTGACTGGTTGCGATGCCATGCGTGTCTCAGTGAAATATAGCCCTAAACTGGACAGACTTAACCGAAATATGTATTAATACCGTACAACGGGGTGAATACACATGAAGTTACATAAAACCAGTTTGTCATGATCTCTTTTTGTATGACCCTTCCGCACATTCGAGGGTCAGTGTATACTGGTTTTGTGTAGCTGTAGATACATGAATGGGGTGGATAAGTGTTAGACTATATTCCCAACATTTATTCACCCCTCTTCTGTATCTATTCACCCCTCGAATTCTATTCACCCCGTTTTACTGTATCTAAATGTTACAAAATAACAACATGAAGCAGTTATTGAATATTTTTTGTATTGAAATTTGATTAAACGTCGATATTGTTTCATTTATTAAGATCTTATAGGTACTTGGTAAAGTCATTTCTGTATGGCTAAGTGCCAGTACCAATTGTTATTGATCAAATGTAATGTCACGTAATGTATATTAATAATTTAATACTATTTTGGCCAACTACATTAATTATAGTATCAAATACTAAACAGTCATCCGTTTTTTTTTTAAATCAGGTATGGCTTCCGTGATTTTGTACCTACCTTTGTTTATTTTAAAGCTAAAATGACGGCATAATAAACTTATCTGAGGTTTCAGATAGATTTCCCTTTTATTTTTCTACTACAACATATACTATTTTTGCGGCAATAGTTTTTATATATAAATATAATGTAATAAGTGTTCATAGTTGTATAAATACTCCAAAAAATAAAATTGTCCTGTAAAAATACAGCGATTGTCATAAGACTACAAAATGTTCTTTAGCTATACATACCTATAAATGATGTGTTTGTTCTAACTTTAAGTTGGTTCTAGCTAGATGTTAATAAAGAATATTTTAACGGTTAAGGTATTTTTTGTTTTATTTCACGAATTACTTTTTAAATTACACAACATAACATCACCCCTTTTTATCCCCGAAGGGGTACGCAGAGGTGCACGTTACGGCGCTTAATGCCACATCCACTTTTCACTATTTATGTCATGAGTCCCATGTGATAGGGGGTGAGCCTATTGGGTATATGTATTAGCCCATATACCAGACACAATTCCAGACTTCGTGCTGCTACTGAGATATTTTTTTAAAGCCACTAATACTTTGCCCGACCCGAAAATCCAATCCGAGACCTCTTGCCTGGCAGTCGCACTTGCAACCACTCGGCCAACGAATCACTCACTTTTTAAATTAGTTTTCTTTTAAAATGGGAAATTGAAGATGTCCCCATCACCAGAATTCAAAAGAGAGCTAATATTTCAGATTTATTAAGTGTAACTATAACTATTGCATTTTAGACACATTTTGATGTTAAATTTAACTTACAAGCAATATTTCCTTAAATGAAAGTAAACCTTATGATCAAAAGAACGTATGAACGATGTATGACGAGTTCCTGTCTGCATATTTTGTATTGCTCTTTTATTCTCATACTAGCTTCTGCCAGCAGCTTCGCCCGCGGTCCCAGGGGTAAAATGCCTATGTATCACTTCAGACCATAATCTACCTCTGTTCCGAATTTCATTCCGGTCCCTTCACTCGTTTTAATATGACTGAGTAACAAACATACACATAAACTCACATATTTCCATTTATAATATCGAGTCAAGCTAATTTCAACCATTGGCCTATCAGTTGCAGCGTAAAGTCTATGAATGAGTATTGTAAACGTTAGAGTAGACAAATACAATCAGAAATCACCGAATTGCTAAGCTATCTGGAGTTTCACGTGTTATTGTGAGTCAACCATAAAAGATAGACATATGCTGTCGAGGAATATTTTTTATATAATTTTAAGGAGAATATTTCCGTCATACATGATTTCTATGCAGCTTTAACCTAAAGCCTGCACACGCGACGGAAGTTTAAAAAATGGAGTAACTTCTACCGTTTTCCCAATATTTCCCTTCACTGCTCTGCTCCTATTGATCTTAGCGTAATGAAAAGTATACTATAACCTGCCCAAGAGTATGAAGAATAATTGTGCCAAATTTCGTTAAAATCCATCGAGTAGTTTTTGTTTCCATAACGAACATACAGACATAAAGCCGCGCGCGGAGCATTTGTATGAAGATAACCTACTTTGTTCTTTATACTATGATACAGACAGACAGACAAAAATTTTACTGATTGCATTACGCGACGGAAGTTTAAAAAATGGAGTAACTTCTACCGTTTTCCCAACGGAAGTTTAAAAAATGGAGTAACTTCTACCGTTTTCCCAATATTTCCCTTCACTGCTCTGCTCCTATTGATCTTAGCGTAATGAAAAGTATACTATAACCTGCCCAAGAGTATGAAGAATAATTGTGCCAAATTTCGTTAAAATCCATCGAGTAGTTTTTGTTTCCATAACGAACATACAGACATAAAGCCGCGCGCGGAGCATTTGTATGAAGATAACCTACTTTGTTCTTTATACTATGATACAGACAGACAGACAAAAATTTTACTGATTGCATTTTTGGCATCAGTAGCGATCCCTAACCACCCCTTGATAGTTATTTTTTAAATATATTTTATGTACAGAATTTACCTCTCTACAGATTTATTATATATTCTCATATAAAATCGTATTCTAAAATAATTGAGTTAAAATGATCTTGTTAGATTAATAAAATATTGTGTTAGTTAATCAAATACAGATTTCAAACCCATGATCATGAAAACGAATCAATGACCCTGAGCACACGTGTCAGACATTGCAATAAAGCCAATTGGGTCATCGGGAAAATTAATATGTACCTAATGATAATAATCTTAGATATGTAAATGACAGACCAATCACTCAACTGCCCGGCAAGAAATTTAGTAAGAATGCCAACTAAAAGCATGGAAGTGAAACCATTTATTCGTTTATAACAAAAGATTATTAATATTTTATCTGACCCTGAGTTTAACATGTGGGTACCTATAGATAAGCATTCTGCCACTGAGTGATTCTGCTAGATACCTAAATCTTATTCATCGTCGAGATCTCACTGTACGTCTGTACGGGCTTACGTAAAATGTTTATGAATTCCAGTAATGTGCGGCAGTAAAGATGAATTGGGCGTTTTTCGACTGATCTAATTGTATGATGAGTCAAGTCAGTTTGCAAAACTGAACGCCGCCGCGTGCGTCGAGCCAATCTGTACATCTCAGTTTTAAATTTAGAAGCGAGTGACAAAATTTTCATGTGCGACTGTTATCCATTGAGATAGTCAACAAATTCTTAGTTTTAAAACTGATTTCAAAGTGTACGGATAGTGTATCTTACTTCACTGGATGTTGAGTGCAAAAACCGTTTGTATTTCTTGGTGTTATGGTGCAAAGTGCAATGGCGGGGTCCAAAAAGCCTGGGCCTTTGAGGAAAAGTGCGAGTTGTCAAGTTTACGCAATTACACATATAAACCACTTGAACTCGAGTAGGAGTGATACATCGACTTCAACGAGTTCGTCATCAGAGAACTATGATACGCCACTCAGGAGGTAAGGACCTGTAATTAAATTCGTCTTTAATTAAGAACAAGTGCTCATGAATAATTTATAAGTCGCAAAGTTATTGGTGCATGTACTCTTGCCATGATCCGATTAGACAGTTCATGTGGGCGGGAAGTCTAAGATTAAATCGATTTTCAACTAATATGAACATTATTATGCTCACCAAGTCTTAGATGTAGGTGGAATAAGTAGGTAGAACTTCGTGCTAACTGCTCGTATATACCTCTAGTAGATAGATAAGCGTAAGATACCTAATGGCAAAGCTAGTGACCTATTCAAGTAGGTAGGCTTCGTTTAGTTGCTAACTGTTCAAATTGATGAAGTATCTACCAATTTATAAACTAAT